GGTATGGGCCAGCAAGGTAGAGCACAACTAGGTTCATGTATTACTGAAGTTCTCCACTTTCCTTAGGGTTGTGGGTAGTAACCAGATCCCGTTTACTGAAATAGCCAGCTCAGCCTCAGAAAAAGAATTGACTAAGGTGTTACAAAAGGACATGAAATATCACCTATATGCCAGCTTAACAGAGGCCTAGTCAGGGTACCTTACCACACCTAAGCTTCAAATCTATCACAGACATCGATGGAGTGGGGAGTCTCCTTTTGTGGTTCAGAATTCATAGATCCCTCAGCCGAGAACTATAGTTTAGATGATTAAGACACCAAATGCGTGCCTATAGTGTTTCACTTGACTCGTATTTGTCTTTTTAAAGTTTACTTATTTTTGAGACAGAGAGAGTGCATGCATGAGCGAGGGAGGGAGAGAGGGAGACACAGTATCTAAGGCAGGCTCCAGGCTTTGAGCTGTCAACACAGAGCCTGATGCGGGGCTCAAACTCATGAGCTGTGTGATCACAACCTGAGCTGAAGTCAGAAGCTTAAAAATTTTTTTTTAATAGTTTATTTATTTTTGAGACAGACAGAGCATGAGTGGGGGAGGGGCAGAGAGAGAGGGAGACACAGAATCTGAATCAGGCTCCAGGCTCTGGGCTGTCAGCACAGTACCTGATGTGGGGCACGAACCCATGAACCGTGAGATCATGACCTGAACCAAATGCTTAACTGACTGAGCCACCCAGGCGGCCCAGAAGCTTGTAAACAACTGAGCCGCCCAAGTGCCCTCATTTGACTTGTATTGATACAAAGTTGGCATAACTAGGGTTACATGAAATTTCAACCTGATTTTCCCAAGCATTTTATTGGAAACTCGGCCTGAGGGGCACCTGGGTGGCTCAGTCAATGAAACATCTGACTTTTGGTTTCAGCTCATGATTTCAGTTTGTGAGATCCAGTCCCATGTTGGACTCTGTGCTGACAACGGAGAGCCTGCTTGCTTGGGATTCTCTCTTTCCCTGCCCCTCCCCTGCTCGAGTGTGCATGCTCTCTCTCAAAATAAATAAACTTTAAAAAAAAAAAAAAAAAAGGAAACTCAGCCTGGACCAAAATTGGACTTCAACCTGCTTGCACTTTGAGGCTCTGCAGTCAAACAAAAGCAGGAGATGCTTGCTCTACATGCAGCCCTGTGGCTGCCTTGCAATGTGACCTTGAGCAGTTCCTCCCTCAGCCACTTGCTTTCCCTGTCCATAAAACAAAAATGTCGGGGTGCCTGGGTGGCTCAGCTGGTTGAGCTTCCGACTTTGGCCCAGGTCATGAGCTAGAGGTTTGTGGGTCTGGGCCCCGCATCGGGCTCTGTGCTGACAGCTGTGCCTCCCTCTCCCTCTGCCCCTCCCCCTGCTGGCACTGTCTCTCTCTCTCTCAAAAATAAACATTAAAATTTTTAAAAGAAAACGTCCACTGCTCTAACATTCTCCATTCTGCAGCTGATGCAGACCACTGCCTTCCGACTGGAGGGAACTTCAAAAGGACTAGCCGTTTAAGAACTAACCAAAAGGAATTTCACAAGGAAGCTACGTCAGTTTGTGGGAAGGGAAATAATTTTGCATCATGAGTTCACCGCTCGAACCATTCCCCCAGCCTGTCACAATGGACATATGGCAAAATAAGACTGAACAGCTAGGCTTCTTATAACCCGTGAGTAAAGCACCATCTGAAAACGGGAAAGGTACCAACATTTTTAAACTTCTATCCCTTATCTCTCCCCACCCTGCTGGCTCACTGCTGACATTTGACCTCTCCATGCGTCTTCCTAAACCACAGGCTCTTAAAGTGGAGCTGAGCATTTAATGGAGGTTTCAGGAAAGAGACCATTAGGAAAATGAAGGAGGCAGGTGACCTCCAGAGTTGTGGCTAACAGTCCACATCTCTGTCCTGATTAGGTGGCCCAAGGACACAAAAAGATATTTGTCACCACATCTCCTCAACCATTGGTGACCTCTGACTTCTCGAGCTCCTGGAAAACTGCACGACTCAGGATTCTTCCAACATTCTAGGTTTTTTTTTTTTTTTTAATGTTTATTATTATTGAGACAGAGAAACACAGCATGAGTGGGGGAGGAGCAGAGAGACGGAGACACAGAACCCGAAACAGGCTCCAGGCTCTGAGCTGTCAGCACAGAGCCCTACACAGGGCTCAAACCCATCAACCGTGTGATCGTGACCTGAGCAGAAGTCAGATGCTTAACCAACTGAGCCCCCCAACATCCTAGTTTTTCCCGCAGTTGTTGACATTCGTTTCTGAAGGAGACTGGAAACCTTGGGCAAAGTCGGAGCTTTTGAGACCCTCTAAAGAGTCCAACACTATCATACAGAACTCCTGTCATGTTGCTTTCATTTTTGATGAGCCAAAAAGCGAACACCCATTCCACGTACAAGGCACTGAGCGAGAGACAGACAGGGCCATGACCTTTGCCCTCACAGGGGGAAAGGAAAAGCACCCAAAATCTGTGTTACGAGAAATACCAGCTTCATTTACTAACACTAATCATTTGTCTTGCTGCTAAAACAAAAAGGGACTCTAGACATTCAGAGGGAACGCTCATCGGCTCAATTCACTCTACCCGAAAAGAAGAGAAAAAGCAGTAAAATTACCTGAACTTTTAGAGCCATGGTTCTGAAATGGCAATTTACCCTGTCCTTTTCAATTGACTTTCACCTTCTGCAGCAAGTGCGAGCACGTTAGTGTTCACACAGCGCAGATCTTTGCTCATCTAGTCATGTGACCTTTTGTAGCCAAAGCACTGAAAGCAAGAACACCTCCTGCCACAGAAAAGTCCAGGCTTATGTTAAACAGCTCACCTGCTCTGGGGCAGGTGTTAAAAGCTACTCATGGAGCAAGTGCAAGGAAAACACTTACGGACATCTTAATGCTGTGCTGCACCTGCTGTCTTTCTCGAGTTCTAAACCCCTTTCGGTTTTCTCTCCTTGATGGTGAACATCTATAGATCTAGGGTTCAAAAGCTAAGTAGGTACTTCCCCCACTTCTTTTGGATCTGGGGGGAAGTATCAAGTACTTACAAAGACATTTTCCTGTCAATTACTAGAGAGTGGGAAAAGTGAAATGAAGCCACATACAAAATTCTCCCACAACTGGTTTTCACTTGCGAAATATTTATGCACAATTTATAAGCTACGGAGCCAGAAATGACTTATTTCAACAGATCTTACTTTGCCAAAATGTGTGGGTGCAGAACTCCAAGGGGAATTACTCAGGTTTTGAAACTCAGAGGCAAAGAGAAAATGATCTAATTTTTCACTCTTTATAACTGAAATTCGCAAAAGTCGAGTCGACTAAATTATATCCACCTAGTCACTTTTTAATCAGAATGAATTAACTTTTCTCTAATATGGTATCCGAGGCACCTGCTCGTTTCAACGAGTTGGACCTAAGAACCGATGGATCGCAGTCCAGAAAAATCATGGGCTTCAACTGCAGGAACACTATTCCAAGAAGCGTGGAGAACGTACGCACTCGGTGAATTTACACGGCGCTACACTGGGCAAACGAGTACAACAAAAGACACGCCTTCCCAGATCTCCTTAAAAAATCAGGGAGTCTTTATTTTTACGGCTTTAAACCAACTGTCAGGTCGACCAAAAGGATAAGGGCACCTCGCTGCACCAGCTATTCGGGAAGGCTGAACTTGCCGTTAATTCGTGCCAGGAAGAATCCAGGCTCGGTTGCAGGTAGAATGGAGAAAGGGGGGGGGGAGGGGAGGGAGGCCTTTTAAAAGATGAGACGAATGCAAAGCCTGGCGGGCACAGGGAGGAGTGTCTATGAAAGTGAGAAATAGGTGAAGACGGTGGTCAAGGAAAACACTGATTGGCTGGAGAGCGAAGAAAGGGAAGCTCAGAAGGAAATTCTAGAAAGCCACAAGGAGCCGAGCGACACGACGAGCGGCGGGGGCCCCGCGGTTCCAAGCTCTACGGCGAAGCGGGCACCCAACGGCCCCGTCTCAGGTTTCCGCGGGTCACAAAAGGATAACGGACATCCTCCCAACGGTGGACCTGGGGGCTCCGCGCGCCGCTTCCGCCCGGCCGCCCCGCCCCGGCCGCCCAGCGCGGCCCACCTGCGCTCGGCACCCCGGGCCCCGCGCCTCGCGGGGAAGGGCGCTCGCGGCGAGATGCGGGCCCGCGGCCATTCTCATCTGCGGCCCGCCCGCCTTTGTTCGCCTGGCCCCGCACACTCACCGCCGCCATCGCCCGCCCGGAGCCAGGCGCCGAGAGCAAACGCCGCCCGACGCGAAAAAGGAGGCACAGGCGTTTCTCGTCAAAGCAGACTTTATTGGGCGCCGGGGCCGCCCCGCGCGCGCCGCCCGCTCCCCCGCGCGCCGTCCTCCAGGCCGCCTGTCTGCCTGCCTGCGCCCGCGCGCGCGGCCGGCCCCGCCCTCCCCAGCAGGCCCCCTCCCCCGCGGCGCCGGGGACCGCGCACCGCTCACCGGCTCCCGAGGCGGCGGCTGCAGCGACGACGCCCCGCTCCCGAGTGCGGCCCGGGCCCGGGGCGGCGGGTCTCGCTGCTGTGGCACCGCGGAGGGCGGGAGCCGCGCGACTCTCAGCGGCGGGCGGTGGCGGCGCGCTGACGTCACGCGCCGCGGCCAGGCGGCGCGCGCGGGGGCCGCCCCGTCGACCCCAATCCGGGAGGAGCCTGGGTGAGTGGGCGGGGCTACGGCGGCGAACGGGCAGATCGATTGGCAGAGGGGGCGGAGCGAGAGGTCCAGTGGGCGAGTGGGAGCGAGGCGGGGCGGGCCGAGGCCAGCGCGGAAGTCTCGCGAGGCCGAGCCCGAGCGGAGTGTGGCGGCGGCGGCGGCGGCGAGATCTGGGCTCGGGGTGAGGAGTTGGTATTTGTGTGGAAGGAGGCGGAGGCGCAGGAGGAAGGGGGAAGCGGAGCGCCGGCCCGGAGGGCGGGAGGAGGCGCGGCCAGAGCGGGCGGCCGAGGCGCGGCGAGGCGGGGCGCCGGGGCGAGCAGCGGCCGAGCGAGCGCGGGGCGCACCGAGGCGAGGAGGCGGGGAAGCCCGCCGCCGCCGCCGCCGCGCCCGCCCCTTCCCCCCGCCGCCCGCCCCCTCTCCCCCCGCCCGCCCGCCGCCTTCCTCCCTCTGCCTTCCTTCCCCACGGCCGGCCGCCTCCTCGCCCGCCCGCCCGCAGCCCCGGAGCCGAGGCCGCCGCGGCCGTGGCGGCGGAGCCCTCAGCCATGGCCTCGGGCGACACCCTCTACATCGCCACGGACGGCTCGGAGATGCCGGCCGAGATCGTGGAGCTGCACGAGATTGAGGTGGAGACCATCCCGGTGGAGACCATCGAGACCACGGTGGTGGGCGAGGAGGAAGAGGACGACGACGACGACGAGGACGGCGGCGGCGGCGACCACGGCGGCGGGGGCGGCCACGGGCACGCGGGCCACCACCACCACCACCACCACCACCACCACCCGCCCATGATCGCGCTGCAGCCGCTCGTCACCGACGACCCGACCCAGGTGCACCACCACCAGGAGGTGATTCTGGTGCAGACGCGCGAGGAGGTGGTGGGCGGCGACGACTCGGACGGGCTGCGCGCCGAGGACGGCTTCGAGGACCAGATCCTCATCCCGGTGCCCGCGCCGGCCGGCGGCGACGACGACTACATCGAGCAGACGCTGGTCACCGTGGCGGCCGCCGGCAAGAGCGGCGGCGGCGGCTCGTCGTCGTCGGGAGGCGGCCGCGTCAAGAAGGGCGGCGGCAAGAAGAGCGGCAAGAAGGGCTACCTCGGCGGCGGGGCCGGGGCGGCGGGCGGCGCGGACGCGGGCAACAAGAAGTGGGAGCAGAAGCAGGTGCAGATCAAGACCCTGGAGGGCGAGTTCTCGGTCACCATGTGGTCCTCAGGTGAGCGCCGGCGCGCGCCGGCCCCCGGGATGTTTTTGTTTTGAAGGGAAGCCATGTTTTATGTGTGTGATGGGCGCCGCCATCTTCTTCGCAGGGCAAGTATGGCGGCCCCAAAAGATGGCGGGCCGCGGCGGGGGCGGCGGGCCGGCGGGCCGGCGGGCCGAAGATGGCGGCGGGAGGCGCGGCGCCGCCCGCTAGGCCGCAATGGCGTAGTTTCCCCGGGCGGGGCGGCCGCGCGGCGCGGGGCGGGGCGGCGCGGCGGGGCGGGGCGCGCTCGGGCCAACGGACGGCCGCCGGCCCGTTGTCCGCCGCCCCCGCCCGGCTGGCTCCCCGCGAGGCCTGGGGGCGGGGGGCGCGGGGCGGGCCTCGGCTGGGGTGCGCGGAGCTCGCGCCCGGCCGGGCCGCCCGCCCGCCGCCGCCGCCTTTCCCTCCGCCTTCCTCTGGGGGGCGTCTCGGCCCCGCCCCGCCGCCCTCCCCTGCCGCTGCCCCGGACCCTCAGCTGCTCCCGAGAGGCGCCTTCCGCTCCCACGCCCGGCGCGCAGGCCGGCCTCTGCCCGCGGCTGCGCTCCCCGTGCTCCCCGCGCTCCCCGCGCTCGCCTCGGTGGGGCGGGACTTGGGCGGCACGTAGGGCTCGCGTGTGCAGGCTCCGCGCCGCGGGCGAGGTCCTCGCTTCCCTCCTTCCCCCCCGCCCCCCCCCCCCGCAGCACGTCAGGGCGAGGGTCCGCGAGGTTTTGTGGATTGCTCTTAACCCTTTGCGTTTGGGGACGTTTCAGTTGGTCAGGTGTTCGGCGCGTTGCAAATGGGTCTGTTATCTACGCAACTGGGGACGTTTGTCACTAAAGTCGAGTCCTTTAAGTCTCTGCTCGATTTTTAGTTGCTAGAAGGCCATCTATCTACTTCCCTCGTGAAGAGAAAGCTTCTGCAGAGTCAGAGAAAATATCTAGGGCAACGGGCTTATTACCTGCGTGTTGAAGTCTTTTTCTTTCTTTTTAAAAAAATGTTTTTATACTTTACTTGATAACGGCGGGAACGCTGGCTTTTTTCCTGTGGGTATCTGTCCCGTTCCTTTTTTTCACACGCTCCCTACTTAAACTGCCAGCGTAGTGAGTACGCTGAGAATGACCCGCCATGGCTAGTTAATCTTCTGCTTGCGAAGGTCCCGCTTGGTACTGAGTTTCCGTTGTGGAATCCTTCCCCCAGGATTACTTTACCGCTGCCGCGTCGTTCTCCGTTCTGGACGGAGCCTCGCAGTGCGAAGACCCTTGAGGATTGTTAACAATTGAGGGGAACAAATGAAGCGGTTGGTGGGAAGGCTGGTCTGGTTGTAGCCCCCGAAAGCCCCGAGACGAGGTACCTAACCTGGGACGGGTCTGTGACTCAAGAGGACCCGGCGAAGGGATCCGGGTTGTTGCCAGAATTCAACGGCAAGTCTTAATAGGCGCTGCTGTTGGGGATTTCAGAGTGTCTGTGGAAGTCTTAGGAGTTTGAGTTTAGTAGGAGGTACCTGTTTAAATGAGACCTGTCTGCTCACTTCCTGGTTATCAAAGTACCTTCTGTAGATTCTGGAAGCTCTAGAATGAGCGCATGTACACGTATTGTGTTGAAACTAAAAACCATGTTTTTCCATTAATATGAGTGCTTGTTGAATTTTGCTGAATTCAGGATACCACTTGAAATCAGATAGTGACGTAAAGATACGCTAACCACATAAAACTAAATTTATTTTTTTCTCACAGTGAGGACACGTTGGTTTCTCAGGGTGTTATGTATTCTGTATTTGATCTTCCCACATTGCTTACCCACTTTTCCATACCCAGAAAACTTGGTAATGGCAGCTTTACTTGATGAAGTGATGCGTATCAAGCCAGCCAGTCGGGGGAAAGTCGGAGGGGCCTGACTAATGGGGGTTAACTTACAATTAAGTCAGCATTGAAAAGTCATTATTTCCCCTGTGCAAGTGGCTGCTTACAGAGCTGCACAGTTTGGGGTTATTTTAATGCCCGTTTCTTTGCCACAGTTAGTTGTCTGCGTTGCAGAGTACTCTGTGCATAAAGCTAATTATACATATTTGATGGCAGTCACATATTTCCTCAGACCTGTTTCGTGGCAGGCTGTCCCCTCGTCCTTGTGGTTTGGAATTAACGCCAAAAGAGACGCTAAATAGTTCGTGATCCACTGCACGTCCCAAATACAAATTCTGAATGTAGCGTAATCTTTGGAACTGAAAGAAGGAGATCATTGATGATAAGTGAAGAAATCAAAGCAGCTTCATTGTTAGGCTGAATTTCTGCATGTTTGTGTGTTGACCGTGGTAGGCAGTATGCTCCGTGCTTTCACCTGCTCAAGCCTCATTTGATCTCAGGCATGAGAGTTTTAGCTACACTGTGGTTTCACAAAAAACTCTTTAGATTGGAAATGAGCTGTGAGGTGACAGTTTTGTCCAAGTCCAAGCTTAGTTACCTGAAGTCTTTATAAAAATAATTGTACACGGGGTATTCTCAGGGCTCTAGTTATTTGCTAGTATCTCTTGGTTAAGAAAAAAAATGTAGTGGGAGCCAGCGTGTTTGTGGGAACCAATTGGAATTTTATAGGTTTCGGTTGCTTGTTTGCCATCTTACTTTAATTTCCCACAGAGTAACTGCAGTCTGTGTGATTGCCATCTTTTTAATGGAATAACAGCGAGGGAATCTAGTGGTTGTATACTAGAGCAGTTTTCAACCTGAAAGGGTCCTTAGAAATCTACTTTTTCGTTTCCTCTTTTTCAACTGATACCGTTCACATGGGCACAATTCAGTGGCTTGTACCATATTCACCAGGTTGTGCGGCCATCACTGCTAGCTAATTCTAGCATATTTCCATCATCCCAGAAAGAGACCCCATACCTATTGCAGTCACTCCCGATTCCGCCCCCCACCCCCAGCCCTGGCAACCACTTATCTACTTTGTGTTTCTCTGGATTTGCTCATTCTGGACATTTCACTTCATTGGAATCAATCTGTGGACTCGTGTGTTTGACTTAGTGCGTTTTCAAGGTTCATCCACACTGTAGAACGTACTTTATTCCTTTTCAAGGCTGGATAGTGTTCCATGGTGTAGATACCAGAGCAAGACCCGCTTAGTTTTGCAGATGAGAAGATGAAGGCTCAGTAAGGCTAAAAGTATGTTTCAATATTTCCTCACGCTTCGGTCATGTCTTGAACATCTTAATCTATTGCTTTAAAGCCCATGTTTACTTTTATTTTTTTCCTGCGCGTATGACTAATGACCATTTCCATGTTGCCAGATTTAGGGCACAGTCTGATAGGTCTCTTTTTCCCTAGATTGTCATCATTGTATGGGAGTGACCTTCTAATTTATAGAGATTACTGTAAACTAAACTACTTAACCGTTGGACCAAAGAGGGAAGCTCATGATTAAAGCTGAGTATTTAAGACATTCAGTGTTGAGAAAAGCCTATGAAGACTTTAAAAATCTCGAGGTTTCGGGGATTCAGAAATTATGACCTTCACTCAAGGCTGTTGGTATTTTAATTATTTTCTGTTAGACCAAATATAGAAGTGCTTTGTACTGGATTGAGTAAAACATCTAAAACTCAAAAAACCATTGATGTTAAAATCAGTAAATTGAAAGAAAGTTGAAAAGTATTTAATTTTCTCTCAGTTCTGTATATTAAGAGAGTTCAGGTTCGTTAAAAGTTACTAGTCCTGACCATTTGCCACACTCTTCTCTGGGTTTTCCACGGCCTCCTCTTTTATCTGCTGTTTATCTTTAACTCGAGGCGCTGTGCGCAGAAATCCGCATGGAGCCAAGCCAGGGAAGCCCTCCAAAGGGGCCTTGTCAACCCCGCCACCTCGGTAGGGCAGGCGCAGTCATAGATCCTCATTCCTGACCTGGCAGTCCTGAAAGCCGGCCTTGCTGGCCCACACTCTCTCTCTCACCTTTCCTTTCTCCCACCATCCACAGCTGACTCCCCCTGGTGGGAAAGGAAAAGTCCGGAGCAGGAAAAGGTCAGTACCTACAACTAGTATTTTAGGCTTTTGAAAGAGAATAAATCAAGTAATAATTTTAAAAACGTATGCCAGACTCCTGCTTGGATATTTACCAGAAGGCTTTTTATTTTTGTTATTGTTGAAGTCTGCTTAGGAAGGTGGGTTTGTTTTAAGGCCAAGAAATTTAGGGCCCGTTATTAGCATAAACAGTTATTAGAATGAACATTTCTTGAGATCTGCATTTCTGTGATACTCCCTGATCTGCTCTTCCCAGGGGACCGTTCTGAACTCTGCTCTCACTCCTTCTTCCCATACAGGTGTACCTAGAAGTGAGAACTTACTATAATTTCTGAACCTGAATATTTACCAGTGGGTTGTTTTCTATTTGAAGCTTGTATTTTAAAATTTGGCTACTGGGGGTGCCTGGGTGGCTCAGTCGGTTAAGGTTAAGCGTTTGACTTCAGCTCAGGTCATGATCTCATGGTTCGTGGGTTCGAGCCCCGCGTTGGGCTCTGTGCTGACAGCTAGCTCAGAGCCTGGAGCCTGTCCTTGGATTCTGTATGTGTCTCCCTCTCTCTCTGACCCTCCCCTGCTCACGCGCTCTCTTTCTCGCAAAAATTAATAAAACACTTAAAAATAATAAAATTTAGCTACTGTTTGCAAGTTGATAGTAATAATTTCATTACAGTTTGCGTTTTTGTCAGGACGATGTGCGTAGGTTTTGGAAGTTCGTTGACGGAACTGTAGAGTTGGTGCTTTTCTAAGTGTGGTGGACTTACTGACACAGGAGAACCGTTTCCCAGACTTGAGTCCCTTGTGTTGGTAGGTCCCATTCTGTTTAACTTGGTGAGTAATTATCAATAGTAGCTAGCCTGGGTTTCTGGGAATCCCATTAGTAACAGCATCAGATTTCCTCTTTGGGGCGCACTGACCAAAGTATCCTGTGTTGGAATCTGAACTCCTGACCTTGGTTTCTTTGTAAAATGACTTAGAGTCGGGGGATCCCTAACA